TTTGTTGTCGTTTTTCCTTACGAGAGAGAGACGCAGAAAGAGAATACATAAACGGCGCAGCGAAATTACGCGCACCCGTGTGCGCCTCGGTGTGCGATGCTTATATACGTATTTAGTACTGCACACACCACGTGGCGTAATCACGCGGCGCGCGTAAAATTTTTTCGAGTGAAATCAGCAGCATAGGCAGCTACTCGAGGCGAGCGAGCCGCTAAATCTTTCTACGACTGCGTATCGTTCGATTATATACTAACGCGCGGATTTTTTTTTTCTTCTTCGAGAATTCGATAATTATATATAGCGACCTCGCGAATTTCCGATTTATATACGATTGGCTCTCGTGGCTTCTAATTAAGCGACTTTTGCAAAGTAGATTCCATTTGGATGAGAAGATCGCGAGACGCGTCGTGTGTTTTTTTTTCTCGTTATAGTTGCGACGTCATCTCGCACAAAGTTGCTTTACGTTTAATAAACTTCACTTGCGTTATGTGTATCATAATAAAATACGTTTACAAACAGTGGATCGCACTTGGAAAAAGAGAGGAGAGGACTCGCTGATGCGTACCGGACGACGATCATGTTCGTGACCGTAACCGTATGCAACTCTCTCTTCTTTCTTTTTTATAATGCATATAAACCTCTCTCTCGGTCTCCGACTAGAGAGGGAGCAAAATGATTTTTAACCTTTCCGATCGGCTGCCCTCGATTATGCACAGCTCGATGGACGATGCACAGAGAGCATTATATACATAACACAACAATGGCATCGACCGCTGTCGATCGTCGCTCTTTCGCTCCTCAAACACACCCAATGCTGGCGTCTATATAGCATGTATTATATGTAGAGCCGTGTGTCGTTCTGCAGTGATCTGAATATTGTAGCAACTTAGTACTGTGGCATTTGAGCGCGAATCTTGACCGACTCGTTGAACTAGGCGGACTACCGACGCGCGTCTTGAGTCATCGATATCGATTATTACACTCGAGCCATTTTTCCGCTGCTTATTACACGCAGGTCGGGTTTATTAAATTTTACTCGCACAAACGGCAGAAGCTGTCAATCAGCTCGAATAAATAGGCGTCGAGTATTTTCTTTTTCGTTCGCGACTATATTGAAAAAAATAACAAGAACATATTTAGAATATACAATAGTATAACACTGTACTTCGCAAACAAACAGCGGAAAAAAGTATCAATTTTGCCTCCGAAGCAAGTTGCAAAAAAAGACCAAAACAGAAAGATTTGATACCATTGTAAAACTCTTCGAGGCGTGTACTGCTGCTCCTGCTGTAACGGAAAAACTGATGTTTTTCTCCGGCAAAAAGTCGCTCGCTTGTACACAAGCTCTCTCTCTCTCACACGTACTATGTACATTCCATATGCATGAATAATGGAAAATTTCAAATTTTGCCCAGCGCGTGAAAAATGAAATGTAATATCCGTTTTGAGAAAAAAAATATAATTTTCTGGATCGACCTGGGAGTGCAGAAAATGTATATATGTTCCAGCATAAAAAGTATAAACCGAATAAAATGCATATTGCATATTGGCGTTGCGCACAGGGGGGTGCACACGAGTGCGCATGTTATATACATCGGCACACGAGCAACTTTCAAAGCTGCCATTGTCATAACACATACACACACAGACATAGACGAAGCTCACTGCTCGCGCGCAAGCCTCGGCGGAATAAAACAAACTGACCAAAGCGCCCCATCACCTGTAAAACCGGATGAATGAATTCCGATATGTCGAGTAAAGGCCAGAGAATATGTACACAGAAGCTAGTTTGAAATGAGCTATACCGTGAATCAATTCGCGCCCCCCGTGTGTATAGAGACCTTTGCTATTTCCTCTTTCTCTCTCGCTCTCGCTCTCGTCTCTGTCTCTCGCGCTCGGGCGACGAGCTTAATTCGCATCGTGTGCAGCTTATATATAGTATATGTGCTCGATCTGCACTGCAGCGCTGCACGACGAAGCAGAGAGAAAGAGAGAGAAAAAGTGTCGACTGTGCCAAAAGATATCGAGCGAGAGACGCGAAAGCTTTTAGCTCTCTTTTTACGTTCGAAAATTGGCACCTTTAATGGTGTATGTGTGTGTGTGAGTGTGGGGGGCATCGCGTGGAAAAAACTGTAAGACGTAAATTGAAGAATCAGTTTTGTTCTCCTTTCGGATCCCAAAGTAAGCTCGGCAGCGATAAATAATTTCTCACTCTATTTATGCGGATACATTATTTGTCTGTAGTTCCTAGAGAGCTCGGAATTAGACTCGGCTCGTATATTTACTTCTGTATACCTATCATGGCTGCCGACATACGTCCATGCGCGCGCGAGAATGGCAAGTTTATATAGCCATAGCGGAAAGCGCACACAAGGCGAGGCCACTTGAGAGATGCTCTTGACGGCGCGGCGTGGTCGTCTTGTCACATAAGCGGCTTAGGTCGAGCCTCGAAGCAAAATTGCAGTGTAGTTATTTTCTTCTCTGTTTTTTTTCACGTATCTATCTTTTTCTGAAAAATCTTTTTGACGTGGAGCACAGATCCTGTTCAGTTGAAATTTTGAGTAAAATACCAAAAGTTTCTCTAAACCAAGTCGATGCGTCTTATTTTTACCGAGCTGTGTTTGCCATTTCAATCATACCCATATCTCCGTAAATCTCGAATACTTCTCCATTAACTCGGCTTATAAGAACGCGTTTTAGCGCGCCTCGTGTGCAACCTAATTTTCCGCCTTCGCGCGAAAACGAAATTTAAAATATAAAAATAATAATTTGTTTGCTTTAGAAAGCAACAACCACAAAAAATACGAGGTTAAAAAAAGTTTTCTGTAAGCACGCGGTTGAAGAAGGCGGCGGCGTCGACGTACGGCTGTGTGTAGTGGCAGCCGCAGAGCGTCAGCCGAGAGTATACCAATCCGAGCACGCACGAGTATTTAATTTCTAGCTTTTAATTTGCACTCGGCTGCGCACTTGTTCCACGAAGCCGCCGCCTAAAGTACACGTACAGTGCCCGAGGTGTTTGATAAATACACTCGCTACAGCTCGCACATACACATACACGCACATTATATATATGAACGAGCACAGAGAGAGAGAGAGAGAGAGAGACGTGCACACACATACAGCCTACATCCGCACAAACTAACTCCTTTATATGCAGCATCGTGTCAAGTATATATATAGTAAAAAGCTTAAACGTGCGTATAGAGAGCGAGTCTTGCTATAGCTGAGCAAGTGAGAGAGAGAGAGAGCGAAAGAGTTGAGCTGGAACTCTGCACACGAGCTATACACAGCTCGTAGCTAGCTTGCTGCATGGGGGTCTTTGTATTGGCTCATTCGAGCTCTCTCTCTCTGCAACACTTGTCTGGATTTTCTCGCGATTTCTAGCAAAGCGTGTCGTAGCTTTTAATAGAAGGGTGCTCCGCTCTCCGCGTGCAGTGCTCTGCGCGCAAAGGCCGAGAGCTCAAAAGTCCGCGCGTATATAACCCCGCCGCGCGCCCGAGTTACAACGAGCTAAGCGAGTTTCCTCCGCGTCTAGTTCTGCTCGCTATCTCTCTCTCTCTCTCTTTTCTCCTTCTCTCTCTTTCGCGTCTATACGTATTTACCCGTAGTAGTACTACGTCCAACCCTTGCAGAGATCGGAGTACACAGCGCGCACGCATAGGCCAACACACGTACGATACACAGAGACGTAAACACACAGCTCCGATGCGGCTGGGCGTACCTATCTCTATCGGCGGAGCGCGTTTTATGCCGTCGGTGAGATGAGTCTCGAGAAGCAGCGCCGGTGCACCGCGCGCTGCACAAGGCTCACTCGCTGCGGAGCATCGGTCTAGGCACGTACCTCGTACGACACGATACGATATTATTAAGCCCGATGCCCGCAGAAGCATCACTTCTGCACAGCGAGCGAGACACGAGACTTTGACTCGAGAGAGTAAAAGTCACGCTTTATCCATATAGGTACGTAGGTGTGCAAATCTCTGTTACAAATCAATCAAACTCAATTGTTTATTTTTTTCTTTTCATTTTATCTATTATTTGTTTGTCTTCGTTCCTGAGCAGGTATAATAATCATATTAATTTATATAAGAAAAATTATCACTAAAGCGACGTGTGTAACTTCGCCGTTTACGAAACGAGAGCAATAAAGGGTAGGTGACTTAAGACATGTATTAGCTTGCATAGAGAACATAACAACAGAGAGCGAAATCCATCGATTGGATTTTGTTACATATATATATCGCATTATATATATTCTGAATGAGATTGTATATCTTTTATAAGACGGTTGGTATTTCTCGAATGATTTGCAATGATTATTTGTAATATTGCTTTTATATACGCCTGCTTTGTCGCTTGCTGCTTCATATTCTGTTGCTACGTTCACTTTTCTCAAAGTATCTTAATAGTTATTCAGGTTGTGGTATTTGTATAATAAAACAATACAATAATAACAATCATAAAAAGAAAACAGCAATATAATAAAATAGCTACCGATAAATTACAATCATGATAATGATAATAATAATAATATAACAGCAACCCACACACATAACCGATAGCGAAGCGTGTTAGTTTTGAGAAAAACTAATCACAATAGCCAAGTCTCTAGTAGATGAGCAGCCTGCGAGAATGCAAAACTCGATCATTACTCCATAAATAGTTACTCGAAATAGAACAACACCAACATGTACAATTCGCTTCAATAGTAAAAAATACCTTTGCGTTGTACACACTTGAAGATATGAAACAGAAAATTTTGGTTGAGCAAAAAAAAAAAAAAAAAAGAAATATCCTTACCTGGACTACTACTCTGCTTGTGCACAATCAGCCGTATGATTATCTAGTTCCCCAATTTCATCCTACTCTTTCTCACCACTGAACAAAACAACAACAACACCAACATCAACAAAAATAAAAAAAAGATAAAAATAAATAAAAACCTGCCTGTAATTGCACTCGCCAGTAATGCAACAATTTTGCTTTTTCTATGTTTTCAGAATTCACCGAGAACAAGCTACTGATCGCTCCGCATCAATCTGAAGACACACACAAGGAATAGAGAGCATTCGCGTAGAATCTCTATGCATAAATGACGTAAAGAAGCAAAACACTTGCCAGCGCATCTTTTTTCTCTTTATCTCTCCTCCTTCTCTGCTCTTCCAGTGAGCAAAGCACACCCCTTGCTTTGAGCGGCGCTCCCCCAACCCAGTCAAATACCCTCGATATCCTCAGCCCAGCTTCTCGATCTTCGGTTTATTTACCACCTTTTCGTCGCTTCTGTATACTCTCCGACGAAAAAGCCACGATAGAGACCGGTGTATATATATTTTTATATACCTGTATATCTCTTGCTCTCCTTTATACCTCCAGCTTCCACACTTTATCCGAGTACTTCCAGAGAAGTCGACGACTGTGTGTTTAATTCTCGCTTTGTCTGTGTCAGTCAATCTGTCTCGCACGACATATACGCGCGCTCGCCTACACACGCCATTCTCGACGCGCATCAATGAGAAGCAGCTCGAGCACCGGCCAACCCCAGATACCAGACTTAGCAGAGCTTCAACCTGAAGAAGCCGTAGCATCGGCCACTACCAGAGGCGTACTTAGCTTGAGCGCTTAGACATAATCCTCGCCTCTTTCTCATTCTATCTCTCGCTCTCTCTCTGCGTACTATATCACTCGCTGCTACTTCTCTCCTCTCTCTTCATATCTCTCTCTCTCTATCCCGTTCCAACACGACCCCGAGGAAGAGCCGATCCAGACGTACGCCTAATACTCAAGGTGAGCACAACGTTCGGTCAAACCGGATGAAATTTTACCTACTCCTCCCCCCAACCCCCGGATTGTATGGGACTGACTTCGGTGAGTGTGTGACGTGACGCGCGCGCGCGCGGGTTGGACGTTGGTCGCGGCGTATTAACTATTTTATGATTCGAAAATGTCAAAATTTTTTCGGAGTTTCGTTAATCCGAAAGGTCATCGCGCGGAGTCAAGTTTCGGCTGTTGAATAATCGACGAAAGAACGAGAGCGCGTATATATAAACTGAAAAGTGTACGAATTTCGCGTTGAAGATGCTTAATTGCTTTTTGCTTTGCTAGCCCCACACCGAAGTAGAGAGATGGTAAATAAACTACGAATACGCTTTCAACGAATTTCGTATTAGTTACGGGTGGCGGCAAGTATCTTTGGAATTTCGCTCGCTCTCGACGACTCGAAAGAACGCGCGGATAATGCGTTAAAGTCGTTTGGCTCGCAGTAACTTACAATTTAACGTCGTCGATTTTCTTTCGCAACTTTACGATCGAACGAATGAGTCTTTCGCTCTCTCACTCCCTAAAAACCTCTGCCTGCAAGCAGTATAGACTAAAAACCTAACGAATTATTTTCAACCCCAATACCAGAAAGAAGTTCGAGAATCTAGAAGGAAAACGAGGACATCTGTAGAAGCAGTCAATTGAAAGACGCAAGCTTCTCAACCCCTACGAAGTTTCGCCCCCAAGAGAATGGCAATGGTCAACATGAATAATCTAATCAACGGAAAGGACTCGCGATGGCTGCAACTGGAGGTCTGCCGAGAGTTCCAGAGACAAAAATGCACCCGACCAGACACCGAGTGCAAATTCGCGCATCCGCCCGCCAACGTCGAGGTTCAGAACGGCCGCGTGACCGCCTGCTACGACAGTATCAAGGTACGTCTCTCTTTCGAAATGCTGCCCTTTGGTCTGACAATAGCGACGACCAACTTATACATTTTACATATAATGAATACATATAGATAATATACATTATACTTTTATAATTACACTCACTTTGTTTTTCTGAGTGCTTCTCACATTATTATTGTTAGTGGTATATTATTATCCATTATTGTCATTATACTTTCCTGGTTGTTGCCTTTCTTTTTTTGTTTGTTTTATCAATTTTTCTACTATATAAGACCTGAAGCTTCTATGCTCGGCTTCTATGCTTATCGCCCCAAAAGCTGTAATTGTGGTTTTAGGTATTATAATCCATACATTTATAATATATATTTTTCTATAAATACACACATAACTGAGCGCTAAGCTTATTAAAATAGGCCAAAACTAAAAAAAAGATTAATGTGCAAGAGAAAGTTCGCAGCGCACTTCAAGTTGAATATTGCAAGTGGGAGCTTACACTCTTACCCTGCCTGCTGCTAGGCGTGTTGCCAAGCTAGTGCAAATGAAATAAAAAAAAAAAGAACTTCCATCGCAAAGACATGTAATGGAATTATTGTTTTAACGAGCAATTCGTGACGATTGCAAAGTTTATACTCGATGATGAAACTTTGAATTCCTGCAGTTCCGAAACTTTTGCGCGTTCTCTCTGTATATTACTCTTCTTTTGATGTTTCTTCAATTCCGCCGCGCCTGACTGCCTCGTGCCCTGTGCGTGCAGCAGGGAACGTAACGTTTTCAACGCGCCGCCGCCGCGCTTATTTAACGTTTTACTCGCGCACGTTATCGCAGATTTGATCAAACTTTGTGATCTCGTGATATATTTTGAAAAGTAAATTAGGTCGTACAATGGTCGTGTATGAATTATAAAGTTGCGGCAGCGAGAAAAAGGGAGCTTACAGCAAAAAAGAAATTGATAGTGAGCTGCAGTGCTATTACGTCTATTTTTAATTTAGGTACACGTTCCTTTCATTCTTTCTTTTTTTTTTTTTGCTTCTTTCACTCGCGGAAATCTCAATTACATTTTCGCAGTCGTGTATATATACGAATACGTATCGTGCGCTATACTTTGCATAATTATGCAGCCTCGAAAAAAATCTTAAACTAGTTTATATGTACGTAGTGCAGGAGAGAGAGAAGGATTTTTTTTTCCTTTCCTCGTCGTACCATTTCATTACAAAGCTCGAGGCTGCGTATGTATACACAAGAGATTTTACAAATCGATAGGAGAGCTTTTATAAAAATAAAAGCTCGCGCGAGCTGAGAGTCGCGAGTGAGATCTCGAGGTGCACGTGTGCACGAACGGAAAGTGCACACCAGCGGACTTGTAACGCGCCGAGTGAAGTGCATATAAGCCATATCAAGAAAAAGCAGCGCCTATTGCGGTCGCTCGATTATTTTAACATGTAATTTCTAATCATTCAATCCGCCGTGGTGTACGTATGTATACGAACGACAGGCACAGTCAAATGTCTGCGGGGTATGTACGTGTGTTTTTGTGCATGTGCGAGCGAGATTACACGTGGCAAAGTCGAGCACACTCGCACAAGTGCGCGCATACACACACACGCTCACCACTACTTGGGCGTTATAGTTCTAGGTCTTATAAGCCTGCTGCATCGCCAGTATACATACAGAAAGGTTCGCCTTTTTTTCTCTCTTTTTCACTCACTCGCGTGTTCCCTACATTAGTCGGCCTACATCGACATGTGCTGGCAGCTCGAGAGAGAGCCAAAAGAGCGAGAACCAGGCCTGGATATCGTAATCGATCGATATTCCAAAAAGAACTTTGCGTCGAGCTACGTACACGTATATATTGGGTAAAGCACTGAGAGAGAGAGAGAGAAAGAGGAGAAACGATTATTGTCTTCGGCTGTACAGCTTCGAAACAAAAAAAAAAGTACGAAAAAAAGCGAACCAGTCCAGAGCTTATCTTCCTTCTACCGGCGCGTTTATAAATCAGGATGAAAAGGCAATGCATATAAAGCATTGACAATATATGTGTAGTATGTGTGTGTGTGCGTGTCTATATAGCTACACACTGCGCCAGATATATATATGTAGCGAGATGGTTCTCGCTCTTTGCTGACTCGCGCTCGTTGCTCTTCTTTCATTCTATATCCTTTCGTTGCGCCAAGGCAGCTGTTCTTGTCGTTTATACGCCTCGCCGCATTATATAAGTGAAGATTTTTTTTTCACCGCCGCCGTCGCTCTTTTATATATCCTTCGATACTCAAATTGCATAAAGTTGCTCTCTCGCTGCTCTTTCTCCCTCTCTCTGGGGGCTCTCTGCGAGACGCGCATGAAACATTGTTATCGCCCGGCGCGGATTAGACGAAAATTAATCGATACAAGCTCTGCAATGTTAGCTGGATTTCTGTGATAAAAGGCCGAGGCAGAGGAGAGGGCTCTCTCGCTCCGCGCGCGCGTTCATTCTGGTTTTTGGAGGAGCCCAGAGCTCTCTGCAAACTGCCTCTCTCTCTCTGAAAAGAGTCTGCGTCGGAAGCGTATATACGAGTACGTGAGTGAGGTCGCATACACACACACACACACACGCACTCACACACATACTCGCGTATACAGATAGAAAGAAGAGGAGAGGAGAAAAGCCAAGAGAAGGAATTGGAGGGCAGGCAGGCAGGCAGACCAAAATGCTGCAAGGCTGCTGCTGCTGCCTGTTTGTCGGGGACTCTCTTTTTGAGCTGCAGATAAGCTGGCAACGCTGCTCCGAGTTTTAGCGCGCTTATAGTATACTATACGGCGCGACGGTGGCAGCGGCGGTGGCGGGACTCTCACTTTTATCGGTGTGCTAGCAGCAGCAGCAGCAGTTCGGCTGACTGGCTGGTGGTGGCTCGCAAACGAAAAACAACGAACGCAGCAGCATCAGCAGCACGAGGGAGTTCAAAGTGGTTCGCGCAGTGTATATATCTACACGTGGCTACCCACTCTCCCTGCATAAGCTGCTGCTACTGCTTCTACAACTATAACACTATTCCACTGTATATACCGGCAGGACCACTATTCGCTCTCTCTCTCGATGAACTATACGGTCGTCCGATTTTTGCGAGAGAAGGGAATGAAAAAAAAGGAGTCGAAAAAAAAAGAGAAGAAGTAAAGAACGACGAAGAGAGCCGAGAACGAATATCGTTAATCGGAGCCATAAATTTCGCAGTCGCGTCCGTATAAGCGAGAAAAAAGAAGGCGATTAGGGCTTCGAGATATACTCTCTGCTCTGTGTTTCTCCTTTTCGACTCGATTCGCTGCCTCTCTTTTTTTTTATTCTTTTTCTTTCTCTCTCTCGCTCTCTCGTTCTCTCTGGCTGTATAGCCGGCTTCGATCGTTCGATTTTTTTCTTGCACGTCGCTGCAGTCAGTCCGCAACGGAGCGAGAAGTTTCCAACGAACGAACGAACGAAGGCGAGTCGCGTAATATAGCTCGCGAGCTCGCGAGACAGTAATATCCTCGAGACTCGTTACGAGCGTATTTGTCGCGCGTAGTACTACTCCACTATCTTGCGCTCGACTCGCCATGTAGAAGAGCCTCTTTGAGCCTGGCTCGAAGAAGCTTCGACTTCTATAGTGGATATATACAGTGTGCGTGTGTGCGCGCGCGGACGCGCCTAGTTTTTTTTCTTCTTCTTTCTTGTTCTTCTTTTTCTCTTCGTTCTCCTTCTACAGCTGCTCCTGCTGCTGCTACGTTTCGGACTCTTAAAACTTTCTTTCCGACGAGTCCGGAGCCTCGCTACAGGCTAGCTCTTTATTCTTGTTAACTCGTTTGCCGAATATAACGCCGCGCGCACGTACCAAGCGGCGGATATCGACGACGACGAGCACTACACGTGCACACAGTCAATAAGCTGTAGTACAGCGAACAAAGATGTACAAATTTTGCGAGCAAACTTTTACGCAGCTACACGACTAAACCGCGATCAAAAATTTTCATTGCCGAACGACGAAAATATCGTAACAGTTTTACGAAGTTTGCGCGCGTACATACAGATTAAGCTCGCGGAAATGCTCGTGAAATTTGCATAATTATCCCGTAGATGGGCGCCACAGCTCTCAAGTACCAAGCCTCGGATCATCAATTTTCCGCAAACCAATTGTCGATCGTCAACTGACAATAATTTCGCGCTGAATCAATCATAAAAAAGGAGTGGAGAGCCTCGTATAACGTTTTATAAGCCCATACACACGCGCGACGAGTCGATGGCACAAGAGACAGAGAGGAAAAAAAGAATTGCCCATGCGCGGTGCGGTCGAGCGTCATCCCACGTATGAATATTTATCACGCAGTCGCGGGGCATTAATTCGTTCGCGTCTCTCGATCGCATATACATATAGAGAGAGGGACGTGTATGTAACCTTGAATTAATCATTCCGTAAGATGGAAATTCCCTGGAACGCCAAGCATATAACAAACACACGCATACTCACGTACACATTCGATATTTACGCTAACCTATATTACACGTACGTGCGCTGCAAATGTTGAAGCTATTTATTATTGACGTGTTCGCGATGTATTAATAAATGATGATGTTTCCCACCTGAGCTCTCGCTGGAGTCTCTGGTATGTCGCGAGAGTTGCATGCATGCATGTGTGTGCAGCCAATAATATTGCACCGCAATCACACACACACACATGATACACACGTCAGAAGGCACAGAGATAGTATGAATGGGAACGCGCGAGTGGATCGCGTGCGAGCGTGTCAACCTCGTGACTTTTACTCTCGTTTCAGCATATAAGAGCTCCGTAATCGCTTGATGTATACGGCGATGTACGAGTAGGATATCTATCCAATAGGGGCCCCTTATTAGCGAAACGGCAAACTCACATATAACGTGCTATCGTGATTCTATTTCACCGACGATTGGGCAAAGATCGAAACCGATCTGCACGACATCGAAGGACTAAAGTTCAAAAGTATGAAAAAAATATCGTAGAAAAAGAAGTAAAAGTAAGATTTCGTTGTGAATATTTCAACG